TATTGAAATTGAATCAAGGTCGGGACCTTATGAAGGGGGAAGCTAGCATCCTGAATGTTCTGAAGTGATACAGATTCTTGCGGGCTGCCCTCCCTAACCCCCCAACCTTTATTCTCTCTCTCTCTCTCTCTCTCTCTCTCTCTCTCTCTCTCTCTCTCTCTCTCTCTCTCTCTCCCCTTCATGGGTGCTCTCTCTCTCTCTCTCTCTCTCTCTCTCTCTCTCTCTCTCTCTCTCTCTCTCTCTCTCTCGCTCTCGCTCTGAAGATCGTGAATCGTGAATGGTAACCTGAAAATATATGCATATGTTACCTTTTGTCCAATGATCACGGACCTTTCATCTTTTTGGATTCAAATGGCCTTAATGCTCCACTCCCGCCTTCGCTGTCATTCCCCTCCCCCACCTTCCTCCCTCCTTCGCCTCCTACTTCTCATCCTCCTTTGCTCTCCATCTCTTGTTCTCCTCCTCCTCCTCCGGTGCTCCTTCGCCTGCTTTTTTTCATTTCTTGGTATGAGGGGGAAGAGGACGAGGAGGGGGGAAACAATGAGGAAGAAACTGCGTCAAGGAGCACGTGGAGGGGGAAGGAGATTAATGACTGTGTAGAAGAGAGAGGAGGTGGAGGAAGAGATAATGAGGCTGATGGCCAGTGATCTGTTCAAAAGAAGGAAACGTTCTTCGTAGCCATCGTTTCCTCCTTCTTCCCCTGTTCCTCCACCGGATCCTCCTCCATTGCTTTTGACTGTCTAATGTTTATTCCTTGGTGATGATGATGATGATGATGATGAGGAGGAGGAGGAGGAGGAGGAGGAAGAGGAGGAGAACTATGTAAAAGGGGAAAGGGAGGAAAAGTTGGTTTGCGTCTTTTGGGGGTGACATGAGCAGGTACAGATAGTGAGCTACCTTGACCCCTTTCTGTTGAGCTGCACCGGCTGGAAACCGGGTCCGGTGTCCCATAGTACGATAGACAGATTAGGATTGAAACAAGCAGCATTTTGATTGCCCTCTTCCTCTTCAGAGGGGATTGACTGCGAGTGTTTTGTAAGCTGGTGTCCCTTCAGAAAGGAAAACATCAGATAAAGACTTGCATTGCTCGAAAATCCTTGACAGTAGGTGCTATTCTTCCAGTTGCCCATGCTGTCACTATCAAGTGGTGACTCTTGTACTTGCCGGTGTGGTTAAAAATCCACCTCTTCTGCTCGGACGGCATTTAATCTCCGCCTCACAGCTGCGCATCTCAAAGAAAGAGAGCCCGACACCTCATTTCTCACAAATTTGTACGCCCCTAATGGAAAGATTGTCCTTCCGCAGAAGTATTCGGTTCATAAGATGGAAGATTGCTATGGGTGCTTGTGTGCTAGTGCGTTCTACAATTACTATAGGCAGAACAAAGAAGAGGGTATCTTAGTATTTGTGTCTCCAAAGGGGTAGGCCATAGAGACGCTTTCAGAGATGGCATGAGTCATTGCCAAGTACCCAGACCTGCAAGAGGACCAGGTGATTGTCCTTGCGGTAGAGATTATCCTGAGTAAAACACCCAGAGGCAGGATCTATAGGATGTCTCCAGCGACGTTAGATGAGCTCTGTCAGCAACTACAAGAACTGATTAAGAAGGGATGGATCAGGCCAAGTACTTCACTGTATGGCGCACCGACCTTATTTGTGCCCGAAAAGGGAGGTACCTTGAGGATGTGCATTGGTTATAGGGCCCCAATGCCATCGTGGTGCCTAATGTGGAGCCCCTACCCCACATCGATGACGTCTTGGATAGAGTGCAGGAATATACATACTTTAGTGAGGTAGATCTTAAGTCGGGTATCATCAGATACATGTTAGACCTAAGAATCAACACAAGATAACATTTCAGATCAGGTATGGCCTGTATGAGTTTGCGGTGATGCCTTTTGGACTCTGTAATGCACGCGGGGCATTCCAGCACGCTATGAATAGTGTTTCATAACCAGTTGGAAAAGTGCGTAGTTTATCTCGACGATATTTTTATCTTTAGCAAGTCTCTAGAGGAATATGCACAACATTTAGACATTGTTTTGAATCTCCTCAGGAAACGCAAGCATAAGATTAACATGCAGCACTAAAATCTTGTAATTAGGTCGTGAAATGTCATATACCAAGATTCGAGGCTAGAGGATGCAAAGGCAGTGGCACTTCATGAACTGGCCGCGACCTCGGTTTGTGATCGAGGTGAGATCATTCTTGGGGGTGACTGACTTACTATAGGTCATTTGTGAAGAATTACAGCAGTATAGCTGTTACCTTCACTTATTTTACTTGACACCCCGTGGGATTGGAGTAAGCAGTGTGAGTGGGCTTTCAAGAAATCGAAGTGTGCCCTCATGCAACACCTTGTTTTGCAGATTGCAGATTCCAAAAAGCCGTTTATCGTGACACTAGTCAACATGTGATAGGCGGGAAGAAGTTGAGACCAATTGAGTAATATGTCCAAGGAAATGCCATCTCAGGAGCTGGCAAACTCGACCTATCAGAGGGAGTTGCATGCACTTTACAAGGCGTTGAAACATTGGAAGCATTATCTCCATGGCAGACATTTTGAACTCATATCTGACTTTGAGATGCTCCAATGGATCAAGATGCAGCCCACATGGTCTGACACACTTAAAAGATGGATCTAAGTCATACACGTGTACGACTTCACACTTAAGCATGTCAAAGGGCAGTGTAACGTGGTAGCTGATGCATTGTCAAGAAGGGCCGATTTCCTTGGTACGTTGGTTACTGAGTTTGAGTTAGGAGGGCATATACTTAAGTGGGTGGTAGATTTTTACAAAGGAGAATATCCTGAAGGAAATCATGTCATGACTTAGTGCATAAGATAGAAAGGTGTATGAGAGTTCAGAATGATGGGAGGGTTGTTGTTCTTAGTAAGGATGGGATAGGAAGACAATGTGTACCTAATAATGAGCCTCTAAGAAGCCCGTCCTGAGGAAAATGGGGTGATGCAACAAGCCACTTGGGGCTTAAAAAGACTTAATGCTAATTTGTTGCAGTGTTTCTGGTGGCGCGGTATGAAGAGAGTTGTTAGGTTTGTCAAAGAGACAAGGCTTGTGCACAAGCTCCCCTCGGCTTAATTAAGCCACTTCCTATTCTTGAGAGAGGCGGCTAATGGAGGCCTCAATTTTCAGACCACTTGTCAGGCCATTTATAACAAAACCCAAGGGTCATTTTAACCAAACTGAGCACCAATTCATAGAGTGGAGATCATACTAACAACTTACAAAAAAAAAATTGACCTGGTCAGTCTCTGACCATGGACTTCATGGACATTCTCGTGACCAGCAGGGAAGGAAACAAACAGATTACTCGGTAGTTTAGTAGCAGGCGTGTTTGGTCGCTTTCTGATTATTGTCATTTTATTGACAGATTTTCAAAATTTGCATGTTCATACTACTGCCCGCAACTGCTAAGACAACATTAAAAGCAATGGCAAGAGTAAAGTGGTTCTCAGAGGACTTCCGAAATGAAGGGGTTAGGAATGCCGAGGCTCCAGGTGTCCGCGGCCCTTGAGCCAGTGAGAAATGATCGAAGTCGCCTTCCGCCCTATAAAGGAAGCCGGGCCTGAGAAATTGTCGCGGGACCTAAGTGAAGGCCGGCAGGGTCTTTTGGGCCTAGGCTCAGGCGCCCGCCCTTGTGACTAACTGGTAGGCCCAGCCTCAAAGTTAGTTACGGAGGCTCGGACTTGGACTCAGCCCTAGCAGGCCGCAGACACTGGCTGAGTGGACCTGGACGCGACCTCGACTACAGGACAAAGGCAAGGAGGCAAGCCAAACCCTGTTTCCAGCAGCCATGTGTTGCTCCCCGAGAATATATCTAAGGCATTGTATGAGGCAGGGAGGACCTTTAAAGGTTCTCTTATCATCCATCCATCAGCTCTGAGTCTGGATCCTGGGATGAAATGTTCCCCCCAAAGGAAGAAAAATTCAAAAAAATGATTTTTTTCCAACTTTTTTTTTGCTTTTTAGTTATGACAGGCCCAGTGCCCAAGGCAACTACATCAAGTAATCTAGTTTCTAGTTCAGACCTGTTGCACGGAGTTGCTGGTTGGCTGCAAAAGTCCTAGGCGCAGTGAAGCCAACCCCTCCCCCCCCCTCCATGCTATACGAGCTCACAGCAACACGCTAGCCATATCTTCCTAATGTCTTCTTCTAGCTGATTACCAAAACAGGAATAAAGATCAGGTAAGACCTGGCATCTTCTAACTCCGAAATCTTGCCCCCCACCCCCCCCCTCCCCACCAAAATAAAGAAGTTACCTATCCATTTGGCTTATTGGGAGGGGCACACGGCCGACTGCTCTGCTCATCGTGGGCCGAAGACGCTACTGTCTTCCCCCGAACAGAACGCAAGGTCATTGTCGATGTACCTAGACTGAAAGATGCCCCACAGACAGCTATAACTGCCTTGTTTTCTGTTCGGCCGAGAGGAAGGCGGAAGCTATGCCGGACTCTCTCCCTTTCCAAGCGAGAAGATAAAGCTCCTGAAAAAACCAAAAACACAGTGGAAGCTGCCTTGCATGTTTAGTGTTGAGAAAATCATAATTTCGATAGTGGGAATAGGGTTTGGAAGGGAGAAAGAAAAGAAAAAGAAAAGGCAAAAGCAGAGAGGAATTTGCCCCATGTTATAGAGAAAAGCATAATACTTAATTTCCCTAGTGGAAATTGGATTTGGAAAGGAAAAAAGAAAAAACCCAAAAACAGAGTGCCAGTTCCACACACGAGTCTTGAGAATAGAGGACTGCATCCAAGATATTGAGCGGTCACCAAGAATGGAGACGGCGCCATGTGAGTGTACTCTTATTTTCTTTTTCAATACGCCGAATTGGCAGGATTGCATCCAAGATAATGCGCGGTCGCGGAGAACAATGGCTTGGACTGGTAACAGGTCTGCCACCGGGGCCCGTCAGTCATTTGGGGGGCATGTGACACCATTCTGGCAGGGGTATTGCTAACCCATACTGGGTGCGAAGAGGTTTTGGAAGGGGTGGTTGATCGACCAGCGAACTCTTGACTGCCCGTTAGGCAGAGAGAAATGTGGCGGACAGGGCATTGATAGATCAGTGGATATCCAGCAGACATTCAGAGAGAGAGAGAGAGAGAGAGAGAGAGAGAGAGAGAGAGAGAGAGAGAGAGAGAGAGAGATGGCGATTTCAATAGGAAAGGGGATGGAGGCGGGTGCTGCTGCACTAGGTGTTTCGGAGGTGGTGTTCCGGTTTTTGATCTGCTTTCTTGCGTCGCTACCTTGCAGTGCGGGGCTTCGTCATGTTCCGGGTGTGGTCCTTCGGCATGCTTACGCTGCTATCATCGGTGTGGTACTCGTTCACTTCTCGTTCGGCTTGGAAGGAAGTGTTTATGTCATGTCTCCAGTCCTGTTCACCTATGCTGTAATGAGGTTGACATGGAAAAATGCTGGGCTAGTGACCTTTGCGGGAGCCTTTGGTTTTCTCATATATTGCCATGTGTCCTTCATGAGTGGCGATCGATGGAAGGACGGTGGAATGGATTTCACAGGGGCATTGATGGTGATGACTCTGAAGGTTACATCCTGTGCGATGAGTTACCAAGATGGGATGCAAGATAAGAGTAATCTTTATGATTCCCATGCACGCACTGCTCTGGTCAAGATTCCATCGCTGCTGGAGTTCATGTCATATACGTACTGTTGTGGAAACGTCCTGGTTGGGCCGGTGTACGACATGAAGGATTACTTGGCGTACATAGAGCGCCGTGAGATCTGGATGGAGGAAGCTGGGCATCGGATACCTTCACCATACGTGCCGGCAGCGAAGTCCTTCGTGCGAGCCCTCTTCTGCCTGATGGTATACGTATGGCTTACACCTTTGGCACCCTGGTCTAGACTGTTCGATCAGGGGCTTCTGCACGGGCCTTCTTTGCGGAAATGGGGCTACTTTTACCTGGTCGTGTTTACGTCGCGGTGGAAGTACTATTTCATATGGGCACTCGCGGAGACGGCTTGCTGCCTCTCAGGGTTTGGCTTTTCTGGATGGAAAAGAGCTAAAGATGGAACACGGAAACCCGTTTGGACCAGGGGGAAGAATGTGGACATCATTGCTATAGAAACTGGTCGAGGTGGCGCTGCATCACTCCCAAAGTACTGGAATATCACCGTGAGCAGCTGGCTAAGGGAATACGTTTACCTGAGGATAGTTCGTAAGGGAATGAGGGCTGGATTCTGGCCACTGCTAATCACCCAGATTCTCAGCGGGTTATGGCATGGTTTGTACCCTGGTTACCTTCTATTCTTTGCCAACACTGCGCTAATGATCGCGGGTTCAAGAGTCATTCACAGGTGGGAAAGGTTGGTGTCGCCGAAACACGGGGCCGTGCAACTAGTGCTAGCAGCTCTTCAAAATATGTACAGCATCTTGACAATCAACTACGCAGCGTTTGGCTTCTTGCTCTTATCTCTCAAAGATACGCTCACAATCTACGGGGAAATGCACTACATTGGAACTCTAGTTCCAGTTCTGGTTATCTTAATCGGGATAGTCACACCATCGCCAAGGGTTAGCAGTAAGGAGGCATGAAGAAGGTCTGCAATCGCTTAATTCCATTCACACTCGAGAGGGACCCATCGCCAAGGCAGAGCGGTAAGGAGGCGTGAAGAAGGGCTTGCAATTGCTTTAGTCCGTTCTCACTTGAGAGGGACCTACTGTGGTGCATGGGCTTGCATGACTTCCCTGCGAGCCATCACCGGGACGGGTCTTCTTATTGCACTTTCGCCAGGAAGACTAAGCAACAAATCAGGACAATTGATTTTTCGACGGTGAGCATAACGAAGACCCCCTTGGCTGCAGCGCTCCTCTTTTTGTTGGGTTGGGTTGGGTTGGGTCGATGTTTCCCCTGGTCTCAGGTGTACATGCTGCAGGACTTGGTGAAGAGGAAATTTATTTTTTCAGACATTGACAGCGTCAACCTTGGATGAATACATTAGATTGTGTTTCCCTTTCCAATTTTTTGAATATTCTTTTTGACTTTTAAAAGGGGAAACACGTCCGTATCCATATGATTGGATCATGGTTCCCTGCTCTCTAAGTGATGTTCAATGATTGGATCATGGTTCCGTGCTCTCTAAGTGATGTTCAGTGAAGGAATGAAGTTGCAATGAAGATTCAATGAAGGTACAATGAAGGCAATGAAGTTTCAGTGAAGGTTCAGTGCAGATTCAATGAAGGTGACGTGAGCACAAGGCGGCCATCGTTTTCGGGTTCTTCCACGAAAAATGGGCAATAAACAAGCTAGCAAGAGCAATACAAACCGAGCTAGCAAGAGCAATACAAACCGAGCTCCCACGAACTGTTGAAATGCAGACCCAAGTTCGAATCCAGATACGAACAGATGCTGGAAAATTCTACGAACCAAGTTCTAGGTGCATGTCAACAGTAGTTGAAGCGGCAGGGATTACTCTGTACCGAGTTTACTCGTTGTTTCCTTTGGGGTTATAGGGTACTCCATGTCTTTCCTCGTGGAGCTTAAGAGTGTAACGTCAGTCCGTTGCTGTAATATATATATGCATTGGACAGGCTCTAAATTCTCCAACCTATCGGTGGTTCTTGATTCGTACCATGCAACCACCTGCACCTGACCGATCGAGCGCCGACGAATTCGTCCTGGATGTGGTATTAAAGTGAACCCTTAATTTCAGAACCTTGAAGACAGAGGCTGTGAGGCGATGGTGCTTTCAGTAGTATTAGTCAGCGCTTTAATACCATTTGTGTATGCAGAATGTGACATCGCCACGAAAGGACACAATGAAAAGTGAAACGCGTTGTTTGGAGAGAAAATATTTTCTGCACCCACGTTTCCGTGCATCGAGCGTGAGTCGTGTAGTGCCCATGCAGGGATCACGTGGGGGTCCCAAACATATAGATGAGGTAAAAACTTGTGTGGAGTCCTTGGGGGGACATCTTAAAGTCGGAACGATACAGAGAAGGTTAGAAATGGTCTCTGCGCAAGGATGACACACATAAACCTAGCAATGGTTCCCCCCCCCCCAAAAAAAAAAAACCTTGTCTGGGCAGATTGAACAGGAGCTGGCAATGTCTGGGGAAGTTAGCGTTTATACAGAGTGAGCTCTTTCTCCACCACAGGGTAGATCTGACGTCAGCGGTGTACTCGGTAAAAGTGAAGAGGACCCAGGTCTTCAGCCTTCTTTATCATTGGTGTTGGAATGCGAGCAGCTGATCTTCCTCGAAGGGTCTGGCGAGCAGATTGGAGAATTGCGTGGTGACTTGTGCACTTCCCGGACTTCGAACTGGAGCAGAGGAGGACCTTTGTGTTATATTTTGACAGGAAGAGGTCAGGCATGTGAAAGAAGGGTGGTGTTTTCACTGTCTTCTGCTTATTGTCTTGAGAGTGAAAATGAGCTTCTGGAGGGATATACCAGTGCCTTGTAGTCCTAACGCAGTTAGCAACAAGTGGCGAGGGAGACTGGTGGAGGCCTGCTAGGATCTCTCAGGGATATGGAGAAGGACAAAATGTTGTCAGTGTCTTCTGCATGTTGCCTTTGCACAGGAATGCGCTGCTGAAATGAAAGGAAGTTATAATTCAAAGGGCAGTTAGGAAGATGGGGGGTGGGGATCTCTCCACATGTCTGCACGGGATGCGAGGCAGGAAATGATGAGGGAGGGATGGGAGAGTGTCAGGAGCTCAGCTAGCTCTTGTGGAGAATCGTGGTCGTCATTGTTTTCTCTATGTTAGCGTTGCACGGAGAGTGTTAGGAGGAGCCGAAGAACCGTTCTCGTCATTGTTTTCGCTATGCTAGCCTTGCTCGAAGAGTGTTTGGAGTAGCTGGAGAAGCGGTGTTATCATTGTTTTCTTTATGATAGCCTTGCACGGAGAGTGTTCGGAGGAGCTGGAGAACCGTTGCCGTCATTGTTTTCGCTATGTTAGCCTTGCACGGAGATGGGCCACTGCCGAGGTGTCCCTTTCCTGGACTCGCCATATACTCGGTAATTGGCCACGAATGGTGTTGCGCGGCTGCGCGATACTGCACACTGTGTTTTTTTTTGTTCTTTCACTAGCTATTTAATGAGCATCCAGTTCATCCCTTGTTTTTTTCTTCTTTTTTTTTTCTTCTTTTCCCTTCTTTATCCCTTTTTTTGGTTCTTTTTTTGAAGTTCATCCCTACTTTCTGTTTTGCCTAATGAGAAGCCTCTCGCATAGGTGATCTCCGAATTGACTATTATGAGTGCTTAGTGAGGGCCAGAATTGTTGACATGTACTGTTCATTTAGGGAGGTGCCGCGAGTTCGCTCGTGTATTTGGTTCCCTTAATGGAGTAATTCTTCGGAACACGTTCATGACATCACCCTCGTTCTCTGAAGTTATAATACACTTAAAAAAAACATGTTACATTTTCCGCAAGCAGGGGTCAGATTGTGTCACATACCTGTGACTGTACCCAGGCATGGTGCAGGACCAGGTGATCACCAAGGCGAGGAGAAACAGCAGTGCGAAGCCTCAGACGACTAAAAGGCACCAATCTGACTCATCAGACATATGACTTGAAAGTTGAAACACGCTCGCATAATCGTCATGTAGAGATGCGAGGAGGGAAGCATAAATGCATATGACCCATCATCATATAACTCGGCACATGCACACATCGTCATATGACTCGACACACACACAAATCATCATATGACTCGACACACAACACATCAGACTCATATGACACAGACAGAAAATCCCTCCATGCACACACACATGGGGAGAGGCACCATAGATGATGGAATCGAGGGAGAGGAGAGGAGGTGTGGGAAGGAGGAGGAGGAAGAAGAAGAAGAAGAAGAAGAAGAAGAAGAAGAAGAAGAAGAAGAAGAGAGTGCAGCCCAATGTGTCACCCGAATAATAATAGTCTCTCTTGAGGAAAAAAACATATTTTTTTCCATAGGAAATTGGATTAAAAAATCAAAAGTAAGAAAAATAAAAGCCGAAAGCAGAGTACCCCTTGTTGTCGATATTCTATTGGTGGGTTGGTTGGTTTACACTAAAATAAAGTCTTTTCTTTCCTTTCCTTTCCTTTCCTTTCCTTTCCTTTTTATATAGTCATGGGCTCTTGGAGCAACTTCCACTCTGCTTTGGCTCCTTCTCCTTTCCCGTCTTTTTCCAAATTTCCATGGTTCTAAAATTGTGCCGGGTGCCTGCCAAGTCCTTGTGTTGGACTTTTTTGAAGTTTTTCCCCCTTTTCTTTTAGTGTTGGGGTTTCGTTATCGTTCAAGCGATCGGGGAGATATTATTGTCGTCATTGGCAGTCAACAGAGAGACAAAGAGACACATGAGAGAGAGAGAGAGAGAGAGAGAGAGAGAGAGAGAGAGAGAGAGAGAGAGAGAGAGAGAGAGAGAGAGAGAGGAAAGATTTCTCTGGATTGTCCACTGGTGCGCAAGGTATAATTCATGCTCGTTGGTGTCGGTGCAATGGGGATTGTCTTACAAGGGTATGTTCTCTGCACGAGCCTCTCTGCTGTCGGGGAGGGACGTCCAAGACCATGCATTTACCATAGGAATCGGTGGGCTTGTAGCAACAGGAAAGTCAGCACCGATGTGTGGCGCTTTGCAAGTAGTTCCGCAAAAAGTAGTGTTGCTGCGGTCACAAGTGACCTCTTTATTCAAGAGGGTAACGAATTCCTGATTCGTCATCAGGCGCTTTCTATGCGGAGAGGATTTAGGCCATCGAAACTGGCGGATGTATACATGCAGCCATTTGCGAGGATATTAGCGTTGATCCTCTGGAGGATCTGACCATCCAGTTCCACGTGTTACCGGTCAGTTCCATGTGGACCACCTTCTCCGGAGATTGGGAGGGGGCAATCTCGCAGCAAACTTTGGCAGCGAAGCGATGGCAGAGAGTGCCGCCGGACTCACGCTGCCTGGAATAGATGGGGCATGAGTGGGTAGTGTTGGGGCATGAGTGGGATCCATGCCCATCAGCTGAGAGGTGGCAGTTGGTGGTTGATGATGGCTTACTGACTTTGAATAGACATCAAGCAGTAGCTGATAGGTGACAGTCAACAGTCAGCTACTATCAATGGCTATCAAGACAAAGTATACTAACCAACCACATTTGTGGGTGGTTAGTTGTCTTGCCAATGTCAGATGGTCGACGGCTGATAGGTCAGCCGCCAATGTGGCAATGTCACACCCTCAGTCATAACAGAAGTGTGACAACACACTTGTGACAGCCATGATTTTTCAGCCCCATGAATTGGCAGGTGCTATTACTATGTTATTAACTGATAGAAATCTTAATACCACCTTTTGTAATCCTGCAGGAGGAGGAGATCCTGTTTTATTTCAACATCTGTTTTGGTTCTTTGGCCACGATTAGCCACCTTAGCTTTCTGCTCTTCTGGAGCTCACATGTGTGGTGATGATGATGGTGAGAAGAGCAATGGGAAGAAGCTATAGGTTTGTGTGTGTGTGTGTGTGTGTGTAGAGTTACCTTGCCCCCACGTTTGCTGTGCTTGAGCCTTGAAGAGATTTTGCGAGATGTAGCAAACTGCCCCCTTCTGCCTTGGTTCAAGTTCTCGATTCTTCTACTTTGTGAAATCAGCTGGTGGCTGTGTTGCCCACCGCGCTGAGATGTGTCCGCATTCGACCACCAGTACACGAGAAAGATGCGCCCGTATATGCTCCAGCCTGGTCGGGATGTACGGTCCAACCTGCAACTTGCCGAATTCAGAGGGTCGCAGAGGCCCGCAGGGGACGAATGAAGGGCCCCGTGTACTGATGGTTAGTCTGTGTTCTGTGGCACAGCATTCCTCCTTGGAGTCCAGTTTTCCCCCCTCCCACCATCTCTGCGATCAACCCTATTTACATTGCCAACAGACAGGCCCTTATCCTCTTTCATTTTTTATCTGCATTGCTTCTGTCACACTCTCTCTCAAAGTTTTAGCTGATCGACAACAGGGAATGTTTTTTTCCGCACTGCTTCTTGCACACTCTCTCTCAAAGCTTCTAGTTGATTCTCATCATTCAGGGTCCAAGTGTTCAAACCGCCAGTACGTTTCCGATCCAAAGAATAAAATATGCGGCTTGCGTGCAGCCACAACTTCAGGGCGTCAGGCTCCGGATCAAAATGGATGGTGGTGCCAGCCAAAGGAGGCCGTGCCGGTTTGTGTTTCTTTGCTGCGCAGGCCATTTCCAGCTGTGGAGAAAAGTGCCTCGGAAGTACTGGTGGTTTGATTGTCGTATGCTAGATTAACAGAATTGGGATGTGATAAGGATAGTCATTCCTCTGAGTTGTAGTGTGGCAGGCCCATCCTTTGAGGATGGGGTTTGGGTAGGCAGGATGGTGATGGGGTACGTGGGGAAGTGTGGATGGAGTAGTGGGCTGCTTACATGTGGTGTGAAGGAGGAATCACTCGCTACGAATGTCCTCACCCGAACAGAATGCCCGTTCGTTCTGGCTGTATTTGGGAAAAGTTTCAGTCTAGATACAATGATTACGACCAGGCGGTGGTTGATAAGTTTGCAGTTCACAAGGGAGGGTGCATATCCAAATGATTCTCCCGGAAGAGTATGAGATTTCAATGGAACTCCAGAGCGCTAGCATTCAGAATCAGGGCTACCTTCTTCCCCTGAATAGGACATACGGTCATTTTTTATTATCTGGACTCGAAATTGTGCCAAATATGGCTATAATGACCATATGTTGTACTCGGGTGAAGACGGTAGTGGTAGGACGGAGGATTCGTAAGTCGTCTTCTCAAGTACAAATATTGAAGAGAAGATCGCCCTTCCGTTCGAATGGACAAACGAGCGTGAGGAGGGGGACATAAGACTCTGCCCTTCTTTTGCGCGTCCACGGGGCCTTTCTTCGAATCAATTAACTGTTCGGAGAAAGGATGTGCTAGCCTGCATCAGAGATACGTGGGTTAAACATTTGAACGTTGCCCCGAGTGAGGTTCACAGCGTATGGTTTGCCAAGGATTATAAAAGAGTAAACCATCCACACTTTATTCTTACAAGTGGACCTGCCGCAGCTACGCTGCTGCGTAGGACGATGCCAAAAACATTTTGCGAAACACCCCAGCCATCAGTTGGACCCCATCTTTGCAATGTACCCCTACCGGACTCTGCCCAACTTTGCGAATTGCAAAAGGCCAAGCGAATTTGCACACCCGCCTAACAGGGGCATA